ATAAAAAGGCTTTAGTCTCTCTCTGCAACCTGCCGCTCCACAGTGGCAGGTTGCAGATGCATCAACAGAGTAAGCACTGTTACATCATGTTCCTTCTGCCGCCTGTTTATGACTGACGCTGCACAGAGTCACAGTGGCTCCCCATGGTGCCTCAGTCCCTCGATCAGCCACCATGAACCGTGGCTTTATTCAACCTGCCATCAGCTACACCACCTACTGTGCAGCCTGCCACAGATACACAGAGAAATCCTCATGCACTGTTACAGAGCTAAAATGATATTCTGGTACTAAGACAGATAATATGATGTTTTGTGTTTTCCATCCAACAGATATGCTTCATTTTTGAGGAGGTGGCTTATTGCTTTGATGCACATAAATCCCTTTATGTAACAGATCCGTTGTGAAATCTGCTCGCCGACTAGATTTGATATGACCAGGTTTGAGAAGTCAGACCAGTATTCTGTTGTTTTAACTGTCGTATTTTGTATGCATGTGCAAGAATCTGCATTATTGGCTAAAATAATACATTCTTGAAGGAATCATTTGGATTGTAGTGTACTTTTTTTTAGCACGATCAAGCCAATACGTTTGGGCAAAAGCAGCTTTCTTTAAATTATACTTAAATTAACAATTTGCTATGGGTAATCGTAGACATGGTGTTTACCATCCTCTGCAGAAACAGCCAGATTAGTAATGAAGCTGGCAGCGTCTCCACTCATAACGCAAAGGTTTATCCCTGTATTACGGTGACTGCTGCCTCCAAATGAGTTGATGTATGTCAGAGCGTCTCAAGCAAATGCTGTTGGAAAACAAAGACGGAGAGAGAGCACAAAAGCTAATGTTTGGACAGCTTTTCGCTGCTGATCATCGCTGTGTTTCCAGACCCTCAGCCCACAATCTGTCACACCTCAACTAACATGTTTGCTTGTTTATTTTTCTCAATTACATACACATTTAAATAAGGTACATTTTAAGAGTTTACGAAATGCATTTTCTACAATTGCTGGATTTAGAAATATAATACCTGTTTTCGCCAATAACACAAGTCTCTATTCAAGTCTTCCTGTCAATATAAAAATATGAAGGTTGCCTGATTTGTAAACCTATGTTCTCATGTTTGTGGTACACACACCTGATCTGTATATGTATGGTTTTATTAAGCAGGACCATATGGTGCAGAGGGGAAATCACTGTGATTTAACAATTTCCTTTGTAAACAGAAACGACATTATCCCATGTCAACAGGCTAATTAATTCAAGATGAAACTGTTGCTTCCAGACTCAAGGTGCCCGTGTGTGGCCATCTTTCAGCTTCACAGCCAGCAGCAATAAGGAAAGGCATAACAAGTCATGTAAGATTTCAGTAAGCCTCGACTCTTATCTCTTCTGTTCACTGTGACGCAGCCAGAGCGGATCAAAATAGCTGATACTAAAACAGGAGAGCAATGTCTGAACTTATGAAAAGATCTGTGTTTCCAGAGCCACCTCGCCCACATGTGGAAGCAAAGAAGGAATAAATAGTGAATGGGTTAATTCAGTGGACACCGACCTATGCTGGGTATTTCATTTCTGTAACAGGCTTTTCGGACTGCTGCAGAGAGGTTAAGACTGAGGCAAAGATTACTATAGAATTAACTGGTAATAGCCTTATTTACAACCATAATCTGAACCCGACAGATGCTCAAAGTTAGCTACACTGTGACTTAATCATGCAAGATCCTCAAAAAAAGTCTGTGTCTGAAGAAAGGTTTTAGGAAATATGCTTATGTGTTTTTTCCCCCCCCCCGAGTTTAATAAAAAGTTAAACATGAAACTGAAGACAGCAGGTGGTTAGATTAGCATAACGACTGGAAAGAGGAAACATTTACCCTGGTGTTGTCCAACATACAACTGTATTCAGATAATAGAAGAATATGGTTTATATTAAAAAAAAACTAGCCTTTTGATATATTTACTTTATATTATTTTAATGTATTGTCTGTATGTTTGTTGTCTTTTGTATGCACCTGTTCCTATTTGTTTATTGTGAAATATTTGAAAGTTGTTTTATACATGCACAATTTAAAACCAAACAACGACAATTCACTAGCTTCTCTTAAAGGCAATTAATAACCCCAAATTACAGGTGATAAATAAAACAGGCTTTGGTTTTATAGGGATGTAGGTCCCAGTCTATTACAGGCAACAAGTGGGGATTCCAGGAAGTTATTTCTATTAGGTTATAATTTCTTAGAGAAGAAAGTTCCCCATAAAACAAAAATCTCATTTTTAGACTTTGTTTTTTGCCATTTCCCCTTTTCTTAAATCTTTACGCTAATGCACGGCTGCATTCAGCTACAAATTCACTATACATCAGAGTAGTCTTCTTAATCTTCTTATCTAATTCTATGTAAGAAAGAAAACAAGTGCATTCCCTTTGATTTTATACAACTTTGAAAGGAAAATGGCTTAAACCCAACGCTTCTAGAGATGTTAAAGCCACAGTATCTGACCTGGCGGTCCCTGACTTTGACTCCACTCAGCGTTGGGTTGAGGGTTGAGCAAAGCCAGGCCTTGAGAGGTTTCTGCCTCTAACAACTGTGGATTTTACAACCCAGCTGTGTTGTCTCTGGACAGGAAAGTGCTCCATTCTTTCTTTGGCAGCCTCACACTCAGTCTACACATTAAGATCGGTTCCTTTGTCATTGTATTATCTTCCTCTTCACTAAAAGCTTTGTCATCACACCTCTCCTGGCTGATGTTTCCGTCTCTTAAAGTGTTGCCGTTTATAATTTAATCAAAACTTTAAGCAGTGAAATCCTGGTTTTCAATTTGATGTGAAGTGTTGTACTTTTGCACCTAGTGATTCCAACAATACTCTCTTTATAACTTTTCTTTGGTAACTTGCCACTAACTTCTGAGACGAGTCTTTAGTGGTTTTACATAGAATTTAAATGATCTGCTTATTATGACAAGCACCTGTGCCATCTCTGTACAAAAGGATCTTTTAGTTAAACGTCTCGTATACAATTAGCCCATTATGTGGACAGGACAGGTGTCGTGCACTTTTAGTTTGAACATCTGTTTGTTCACAGATCCTTCTGTCCATCAGTCTTTATGCATTGTGCTGTTGTCTGGCACAGGTGTAGTAGTCTAAGCAGACACACCTGTATGAAAACTAGCAACAAGCCGAGAGCCCATTTCCATTGGAAATAAAGGCCAAGTGCAAAACAAGGCTCCACTCACATATACTATTGAAGGCTTTAAACTCAACTTGTGTTCTTTCCAGTAATCCATTTAATCAGTTTGTGGTGGCATTGAGAGGTAACCTTGTGGTTTTAACTGAAACTGGCTTGGAAAAAGGGTTTTTTCCAACCTTAGAGTAGGGCTGCTCGATTATGGCAAAAATCATAATCTCGATTATTTGGGTCAATAATTGATATCACGATTATTAAAAACGATTATCCATTTACTTTGAAAACATCCATTTATTGAAAAAAAAAATGTGAACAGTATGTTTTTAACAGTTGATTACCCTGAACTTTAAGTATAACTCAACTGAAAAACCAATACAAAAATTAATAAAAATAAAAATAATCATTTTATTTCGATTATGTTGTTTTCATAATCGTTCCAAGCCAAAATCCTAATTGCGATTAAAATACGATGAATTGAGCAGCCCTACCTTAGAGCAGAAACAACAACAAATTCAAAATAACCTATTACGCTTTTTGGGGTTTTCCCTTTCCTGTATTTTTTACATTGATCTTGTAAGATACGTTTGTTGTTTTTATATTGTTTTACATTGCCAATTGTGTTTGTTGACTTGTGAAGCCCTCTGAGACAAATAGGATTATGGATTTTGGGCTATATAAATAAACTTGAATTGAATTTTAGTGTGTTATATAGGTTTTGTATCATGTAAATGGCTTAAGGCTAAAACCCCATAGTAACCACGAGAGGCTTTCTCTCCCACACTCTCCCCCCTGCCTGAAACACCTCCATTCCAAAACATAGGGACATCACTATGTAACACTAGCGCTGGTGTACTTGATAGGCTAAGGGGTGGGACATCTCTAAGCGGTAGACCAATCACAACAGAGCTGGCCAGCTAACCAATCAGAGCAGACTGGGCTCTGGTTTCAGACAGAGGGTGAAAAGAGGTGCNGGCGACTCTCTTTTGTACCGAGTTATTGGGAGTCTGCACGTAAACTAAGCCTAATATCGTGACACAATGAAACTCCTAACCTGACTACGTGGCTCCTCACGAAGTAAGACTGAAATTAGCTTAGCCCCTATGTTCAATGTTTGTTGTTTGTGTTTCATGTATTGTGTCTGGATACTTTGTCTGTTGATGTTGGACATGGAGCTGCTGTGACGCAAGTCAAATTTGAGACTTGATCTGACCAATAAAGTATTATCGTATCGTATGTATCGTATAAGGTTGATTGTGCAAATGTCCATTATCAGGAGTGAGTTGACAAAAGCTGTCTAGCTTGATATAATGGTAGAAGTAAACGATATTGAGCATAAGCATTAAGGAATTGTTACAGTCAGAAGAACAGTCTCAATCAGAGTTGCTTTAAAGACAATATTAATTATGACTTGCTCGGGATTTGTTATTACGGTATTAAAGATTGTGAATCTTTTTCATTGTCCTATTTCTAAGAATATCAAACAAAGGATGTATATCATGATCATTTCTTCAATGGTTGCATCCATTTGAGAAAAACTTCAGCAGGACCTACAGAGACACTTTGAAGAATCAGCAGACCAATGGCAGGTCAATATTTTAGGGGATCCAGTGCACTTTTCTACTTCACCGCAAAACTAATTGATTATTGAGCTGTAAACACAGAGACAGAAGCTGCTCAGGGACTTAAGCCGGGGGAATGAAAACCATTAATCTAGCCTAACACTTAAGAAGCAACTAACTAATAACATTGACCCTTTAGGCCTCCATCACCTGACTGGAAAGGATACATGATGGAGAAAATAAAGTGTGCCCGGTTGTCTCTTACCTGGATGGGGCATTGTTATGGTGTCGTTGGCATTGGTGGAGCCCACATTGTATATGACAACTGCAGAGGCGTTGTAGTTTGCAACGTTACAGATCTTCTCTCGGTAGGAACAGTTCCCATCAGCCACCAGAGCCACCCAGGCGGTGTTAGCGGGGAGAGGGGGAAACCTGAGGCTGGGGTCGCACGCCTGCCTGTCCTGCAGGCTGGACGGAACCAGGACCAGACCTCTGGCTTCTTTCTTGGGCGACTGCTCACCATACCTTCCGCACTCGGTTTTCTCCGTCCTGACCTCGGAAGTGACGGGGTCCAGATAGGTGATGTTGACAAAAGCGGTGTACCACTCCTCTTTCTCTGCAACCGTAAAGTCCAAGCACAGCAAGTGCACGAAACAAAACGACAGCAGCCACGTCGAGAGAGCCAGACTGCGGCAACATTGGATGAAGGACGGTGCCATTGTGCGGCTGCTTTTGGGGTGGATGGTCCTTGGTCTGGGTCTCCGCCTTACTGGAAAGCTCCCACCCCGTCCCTCTTTTCACCCCCAAACCTTAACTTTGCATAAGAGCCAGTGCCGGACACCAGCTCTCATGGAAGCTGTCCGAAAAGAGTTTGTGAGCTACGTGGATGAGTCTGCTACACACCACCACCTGCAGGGAAAAACGACTCGGTGTGTGTGTGTGTTGTTGTTCACCGTCAGCTGTTTCGCTTCCTCGTCCAGGATTGGCTCATCGCTTATCATCACGTGACCTGGGCGTGGTCACGATGGCCCCTGACGACCTGACTCGGCATGTGGAGGAACTAAACAGAAATACATCATTTAATCCACTGCATCATGAATGCATTCATATCATCATGAGAGTTTAAGCTATAATGCTTTCCATTATTGGTTTCTGCATTCATTGGGTTTGATATGTTGGAACAAACTGTATTTTTTACGTTGAATTTTTATTCCATTTACTTATCATGTGTTATCATCTGACAATATTTATTATAAAAAAAACATTGATACTTGACACTAATCATCAATAATATAAGGAGTAAGATGTGAATTTTTTCAACAGGGGAAATGGATAGTCTAAAGTTTAACAGAAGGTGTTTTATAAAAAAATATTATAGCTCACAAACATTATTTCATCTATTTTCATGATATTCATATCTCTTATATCTCTACCATTTTCAGTACTTGTAAGCCTACTTTAACTGACGCTTATCTTCATACAGTATATTGTATTCATATACCTTTTGGGTAGATATACATATTCAATTTAGTGCTTTTTGCCCCTCTGGTTAGACACGGAACCAAAAGAAGGAACAAAAATAGCGACGTTCTGTTTCTGATCGGACACATTTTCTGGACGGACCTAAGAGAAGTTGGGAGCGCCGATCATTTCGGTAAAAAAGGCAAAAACTCTGACTCTTATATTTTAAATGACACCTATATTTGACATTCAGGAACATTGATGTTACTGCTCGACAACCTACATATTACATGTAAACAGCTAATACTAAAGTTAATGTAAAATATGTACCATGTGATTCTACGTGTCCTGTCTGCAACAGCTAGCTAACAAATACGTTATAAACTAATAATTGGTGATCGTACATGTGTTAGCGTTCTAGCATTATCTGAACCTTAATAATATGATTCCCTGTGTGTTTATTGACATTAGAAGCCAAATAAAGCACTTAAAGGAACTTCCAAACCGTGACCTGGCTCTTAAGATTTTCATTGCCATTTCTACTGTAGCTACTGTGCATATGATAATACTGAACTCGTGTTCCGGGTTCCCAGGTTACCACCAGCCGCTATCCCCTTGGAAACCAACCGTTAAACCAGTCCGTAGCCTGATTGAAACGATCCAAAGATGCCCAAAAAGAAAACCGGTGCCCGGAAAAAGGCCGAGAGCCGAAAAGAGCGAGAGAAACAGTCCCGAGCCAACCGGGATGTGATCGACGTGGCCAAGCATCCCTGCAACTTCACCATGGTGTGTAATTTAAAACATAATTCCACCTATCAAAGTATCCGAAGTACTGTTTCTTATTTGATGAACTTTAAATAAAAAAAAATGTTAATATTTTATTATACTGTACTCACTTTTTATACTGTACTCACTTTCTCACATATGTATAGTATGTGTAAATATTCTCTTATTTTTCATTTCTTCAAGTAGATTTAAAAATAGCTTTTATAATAATACTTATTTTTGCTAATTTCTTTAAAACAAAGTAGTATTTATCCTGTGTCTGTGTAATTACACCAAAGCACATTTCTCGTATGTGTAAACCTGCTTGGTAATAAAACTGATTCTGGTTATTTTGTAACTCTTCAACCTTCTGTTTTTGCAGGAATGCGACAAATGTCAAAGGTAGGTGACTGAATCGTATTATATTCTGTCATTCAGGTATATCGGGTGAGCTTGTTAACAAACATGTGTTTCTCCTTGTTATGTCACCTGGTAGAAAACAGAAGAACAGAGCTTTCTGCTACTTCTGTAATTCAGTGCAGAAGCTTCCTATCTGCGCTCAGTGTGGTGAGTAAACTTCACAGACGTGTGGTATGTTTACATGTATGTTATAATGTTTATTTAATCTTACTATCATTTTACTTGTTGTGTCGTCTCTCAAATCTAACAATCATCTATAAGCTGTGTGTAGCTTTCAGCCCCAAGTTCATTTACCTCTACTTAGAGACGTCTATCTTTAGAAATAGATAAATCAACAATCATTATTCAAACATTAGTAAATGAGTCATGGGTTGGGTACTTCTTTCAGACATTCATTTGATGCTTGACTGACTATTTACAGTACTAGGTCACAATGAAGGAATAGTAATATAGGATAGCCATGTAAAATAAAGGTTGCAATGCGGCACCACAGAGGTCCATATAAGAGTTTATTCCCTAAAGAAATGTCATGTCTGAAAAAAGAAATTATGATCCTGCAATTCTAATGCATCCTACTAGCCTTACATGAAAGCCTCCCTCAAAGGCACACTAAATATCTATGTCTTTCAATTCCCACACTTCTACATCCTCATGTATCAAATTAGTGGCGTACACTTTTAAAAACCACAGTGAGTGTACATACTAAAGATATTGTACTTTGGCGCCCCCAAGTGTTGGGATTTAAAAATACACTTTTGTAAACAGCAGTGCATTTCAATTATGTCCTGCAAAAACGTTCACCATCATAAGGCACTAAACACACCAACATTGTCCAACAGGGTTGTTAAAAAAAAACCTCATGAATAAACTATGTAATGCTTAATGCTGTTTTCTTTTTCAGGCAAAACCAAGTGCATGAAATCTTCAGATTGTGTCGTCAAACATCCTGGGCTCCACACCACTGGAATGGCCATGGTGGTAAGTTATTAACAGTTCTGAAAAAATATAATCATGTGGTAAATATGCCTTTCCTGCTTTGACCAATCTGCGCTTATCCTTATGTGCTGTTGCAGCGATGTAAGAATAGATACAGTACTAGTTGTTGGTAGTATTTTAAAACAACTGTTTAAAATAAATCAGTTTGGTTATTTTTATTCAGAGAAGTGTTTGCAGGATTGATTTTATTAAAAAAAAAGTTTTGTTGTGATGTCTGTGTTTATGCAGCAATGTCTTCAATCAGAATCCATTTTTATTACAGGATTATCATACAGACATGTTAGATTAGTTGTTGAGAGGCATAGGATACAGTGAGTTGCCGTTTCTCAATGTCGAGTACACATGCTTCAGAGCCACTATTTCAAGTATACTACGTCATCGAGTGGCACCGAAGGACTGTTTAAATACATGTTAAATGCCCAGCATTCTGCGCCACTTTATGACGTAGTATACTTGAAATAGTGGCTCTGCAACATGTGTACTCGACATTGAGAAACAGCCTGTAAGTGTATTGTCACCACTAGAGAGCAGGTGTCCAGTACAACTTCACCTCCTTGTCCCAGCCATGCACTTTCTGTGTTGCTTGAACCCAGAAGTATTGGCCATTGCCCCCCCAGAGGCTAACTTACTGTCACACCAATAGAATATTAGTTGTGAGATTTATAGTGGCTTAAAAAAAATTGCAAAGTTTTCCTTTTTTTTCTCACTGTACTTTTCTTCTTTACCACAAGGGGGCAGTGTGTGACTTCTGTGAAGCTTGGGTGTGCCACGGCAGGAAATGTCTGAGCACTCACTCCTGTGTGTGTCCTCTGACAGATGCAGACTGCATCGAGTGTGATCGTGCTGTCTGGGACCATGGTAAACCCCCCCCTCCCCATTTGAAATTCACGTGGCCACATCACTGTCAAACTGAGAATGAACTCTGGCTGTTTTTACTTTCTGAATAGGAGGGCGAATCTTCCGCTGTAGCTTCTGTAGCAACTTCTTGTGTGAGGATGATCAGTTTGAGCATCAGGCAAGCTGCCAAGTCCTCCAGGCAGAGACATACAAATGTGAGTCATTTGGTTTTGCTTTCCCAATGTCATTCATTAGCGCTCTGTGGAAAATAATGTCTAGAGGGAAAATAATTTTTTACACTTTGTTTTGCCTTTTCCCATTTCAGGTGTTTCCTGTAACAGACTGGGACAACACTCCTGTCTGCGTTGTAAGGTGAGTGGACATATATTATTATTTCAGAAAACACAATGGAAGGATGTCCTAGTTTTATTGTCGCTACTTGCAGCTACTGAGGTTGCTGTAAACATGTTTTATACACTGTAGAACTACTTCCAACTTATCAGCTCACATCATGAATAGTTTCCACAACAAATGACCCTCATCTTATAACTGATAAGACAGTTCAAATATATTGCTCCCTTTCCTTTGCTTTTAATTTTAGTTGACCTAAAAAAAGGTAATATTCCCGACGGGCAAGCAACATTTAAGATTAAAACAAGAAACAAGTTAAACACAGCAGGAGAGTGCTCCAATCAGATAAAACGGAACTCCCCAATTGTGGCTGAAGCTGTGGCCAGGAGTTTATTTCTCATCTTTTGAAGCAGTACGCATAATATTTACACCAGCATGTGCTCCGAGGCCTGTACTACGAAGCCGGATTTTCGCTTAGCGGGCTAACTTCAGGGAAAACTCTGGGTTTCCGGTCCTACGACGCTGGTTCTCTTTTTAGCAGGCTAGATCTCCATGGTAACTTATGCTGAGCGGCAGGTTAGGTTGCAGGCTAAGAGATCAACTCAGTGAAAGCACTGCCTGCTGACCAATCAGAGCTCAGTGTGCGGAGTTTAAAGCGATCAAGTCATATTACAGGAGAAAGGAAATACAGAAAAACTGCCGTTGCAGGAAAGACGGCCGGCAAAAATAAACTGACTGTGTGAACGTGAAAATTAATATCATTCACCTCCCATCTTCAGAGCAATCTGACTATTGTAACATTAGCGCTAAGAAAGCTTACTTAAAGTGGACCTATCATGCTATATTTGAATAATATAGTGTAGGACCATACCTATAAGGCATATTTATACTTTTCATTTTTCAAAATACCAAACAGATCATGCATTTGATCCATTCCTCATTTCGCTCAATTTAACACTGTCTTTCATGCTCGGATTCTGTGAGAACAGCACCATCTGGTGAACTGAAATATGTACTACAGCATCTCCAGCGCTTTGGAACGGCAATGTCCGTGGCTGTCTCCTCCTGATTGGTGGAGTTGGCCCAATAGCCGTAGCGCAACTTCTGTGACGTCATAGAAGTGTTCAAATCTGGATCACTCTGTATCAGATCCGTTGCAGCCCCTTTTTTAGAGATTTGGGTATGGTGGAAAAGAGAGAGGGTTGTGTTTTCTGACACTTGGTGAGTTCCCTGGAACACCGGGGACACATATTCATGTAGAAAAAATGTACAAAAGTGCATTTTGCATGATAGGTCACCTTTAATATTTGTTTTCAAAGTGTGGTTTTATTTCTGTACCCACCTATCACTACTGTCAAATGAACAATATATTTAGGTTATGTAATTAGAGTATTATTTTCAGCACTAGTACTAGCATGTTGTCATGTTTGTGCTTTGTGTGTGCTTTGTGTGTGCGTGCGTGTGTGTAGTGAAGGAGCACCTTGTGCAGGAGCAGGACCAGCTGCGGCAGGACTGTGGGCACCTTCAGGCCAGGTTGGAGGCAGGGCAGACTGAATGTCAGAAAGAGAGAGAGGTGGGGGGGGGGCAGGCACTGTGATGTTGTTCACAGTGTCACACGGATTCAATACTTTACACAACAGACAGATCAATGAGTGGACTTTAAAGGGTTGGTTATGTTGGAAGGATTGTAGTCTCTGGGGACTGCTTCGATAGGTCTCAGACCTCGTCGATGTCGGTCCTCCGACGTCGAAGGATGTTGTGTGTGTGTGTGTGTGTGGTGTGTGGTGTCGGTGTGTTTTGGTGGTGTGTGTGGTGGTGTGTGTGTGTGGTGTGTGTGTGTGTGTGTGTTGTGTCGTGTGTGTGTTCTGTGTGTTGTGTGTGTGTGTGTGTGTGTGTGTGTTGGTGTGTGGGATGTGTGGTCGGTGCTGTGCTGTGTGTGTGTGAGTGGTTGTGTTGGTGTACATCGCCCGCCGACGTAGTTGACTACTGGACAAATTAAACCTGGGACCTCTCACAGACACTAACCCTACTCGATTCGTCTGTGTTGTCTTTTGTGGTGTGCCGACGTCTCCTGAGTGCTAGTCGGGTCGGTCGCACACTCGGCACAGGAGAGACCTAACTCGTCGAGGTGGTCGTCTGACGTCCCGACGACTAGGGTTCTCGTCTCGCTCACGACGGACGGACATCGTCGAGACGAGGTGGACGGTGTCGCGAGGGAGTTGGTTTCGAAGAAGGATGTGTGTGTCGCGTGTTGTGTGTGTGTTGTGTGTCGGTGTTGTGTGTGTGTGTTGGTGTGTGTGTGTCGTGTGTGTGTGTGCTGGTCTGTTAGTGTGGTGTAGTGGTGTGTGCTGTGTGGTGTGNTGTTTTCCCCGGAAGAACAATTTCCATTTCGTTGCCACATTTGTGAGGATGATAATGAGAAGGACACACCTTGACCTGGAACCAGGCGTCCTGCGTGCACAGACGGATGTCACAGGCGGTGATCAGGTCCACACCTGCAGCAGAGCAGGAACACGCAGCAGCACACGCACCGTGAAGAGAAACGTTATATAGAAGAAAGTACCATAAAATACCAGCTTAAAGTGGACCTATCATGCTATATTTGAATAATGTATTGTAGGGCCATACCTATATAAGGTATATTTATACTTTTCATTTTTCAAAATACCAAACAGATCATGCATTTTATCCATTCCTCATTTCGCTCAATTTAACACTGTCTTTCATGCTCGGATTCTGTGAGAACAGCACCATCTGGTGGCCTGAAATATGTACTACAGCGTCTCCAGCGCTTTGGAACGGCAATGTCCGTGGCTGTCTCCTCCTGATTGGTGGAGTTGGCCCAATAGCCGTGGCGCAACTTCTGTGACGAAGTTATAAGAGATTTGGGTATGGAGGAAAATAGAGAGGGTTGTGTTTTCTGACACTTGGTGAGTTCCCTGGAACACCGGGGACACATATTCATGTATAAAAGATGTACAAAATTGCATTTTGCATGATAGGTCACCTTTAAATATCTGCCACAACATAAGTAACTGGGTTAAAGTAACATTACGTACAGTCCACGGCACTGTGAGTGCAGATGTCAATATACTCCATTATCATTCATATCACATCATATCACATCATAATACCATATATTTCCTTATCTGAGTCAGCTTCTTGAGCCGTATCTGGCCGTGCAACACTCACAGTGTCACATACTGTATGCAGAAGTATTATTTTAAGCAACACATTAAGTTGACGAAACTCTCGAGTCAAATATAATTAAAGTCAGATCCACTCGTGTCTTAGACGGGGCAGTGATATCATAAACCTGTTAATGTACGCATTGAAACCCTTTTTCTTTTACCAGCTGTGTTCACCTTGCAGGGTAAAGTGTTTAAGTCATGGATGTTTAAAGTTTAACTTCTTCACATTTGTCTAATTATAGTTCACTTTTCATTCAGGAAGTATGACGCTGCGCTGTTAGTGCGCTTCTCCATGTTTGTGATTGGTCAAATGTTGCTAACCCCGCCCCTTTCATGTGAACGCGCACCTAACTAGATAGGACACGGCTGGCTTGAGCGATCCACTTGATAACCTGCGTCGTAGGACCGTTTAGCGAGATCGCATATGTTTTGGATTAGGCCAACCGGCTAACTCAAACATATCCAGGTTATGTTGAACCGGCTTCGTAGTACAGGTCTCAGATCTGTTTAAAACGGGTTGTTTGTGTAACTGTGATGTGAGGGTCACCAACAAGACATTTATCACACAGCAGCTTTATCTACAACATGCACTCGTGGCCCAGCAGCTCATGATATCACTTGGCAAGGACTTCTTACTGATAGAGCACTTTACTTACTTATATTCAGCATTTGATTCTAGGTGAATTGGACGTGGATCACATGAAATGTAAACAAGAAGAGGCCCTATGTAGAGAAGAATAACAACAACAACAAAGTTGACAAAGGCATCACACACACACACACACACACACACACACACACACACACACACACACACACACACACACACACACACTCACACACTCGCTAAGAAGTTCTACACTTGTTGATAAAGTACGTTTTCATAGCGAGGAGACATAGTCAGGAGCTGTAAAGAAACAAAACAATGCAGCGTCCCTCCACTGCATGTCTTCAGCTAGCTTGGATAAATATGGCTCGATATGAGTCAGCCAAAACACTGTTGAATATGTCTTCGTTCTAGACATCCATTGCCATTTTCAATGTTGAATACATAGCTATTATACCATCTACACTAATGGAACAGCCACATAAATGGTGCCAATTTGTTCTTTTCAGGAGAGGTTAACATTTGAGCAAGTCAGTCTTAAAGCAATACTTGTGTACTCATATGGAGGTTTAAGGAGTTATTCTTGGTTATACTTATTTCTCCTTTTCATACTAGAAGAGTAGGATCCCTTCTTAACACGACTTAATTGTCAGTCTAGTTTGCGTCTTTGTCCTACTAATCCTAGCTTTAAAAGGTTAGTAGCAAGTGTTAACTAAATAAAGTCCGTTAACAATAATTCAGCCTTTTTATAAGAAAACAAGTTTGGTCACTTTTGTCTTCATCATAGACATAGAATGGATTTGTTTGATCTCAGTGAACAGCAGATAAACAGCTGGTATATATTTTCCATTGCAGGTGAATCTCTATACTTGAGGCCAGAGGAAAGGAGGACTTGAGTACTTTGCTTAAAATAGACGTGTCATCTAAATGAGCCTGAACACTCGTTGGATTTCAATCTCATATTCCAGCTCCGAATACCCCTCACACATCCAGATAATGTGTGTGCTGTGAACTTTTCCATGTGATGATTTAAACCTCATTTCAACTGTGTCCCCTCAGGCATGTTACTGTGACGACCACGCCAAGAGTAAGGTCTTCAAACAGGAGAAAGGCAAAAACCCCCCCTGCCCCAAGTGTGGTCACGAAACCCAAGAGACCAAAGACCTCAGCATGTCCAGTGAGTCTCGAGTGGTTCTTCAAGTAGAGGAAGGGGCCCGCACCCATTGTGATTTCAGAAACTAAACTTGTGTTGTACAAAACAATCAAAGAGATTTGTTTTGTCCTCTAACGTAAATAAGAAACAGCTGTTTATTTAGTTTTTGCTCAGTGAAGAGACTATTTTCCTAATCCTTTAGTCTTACAGTAATCTGTTGGTTTAAAAAAAGTATTGACGTTTTAGGAAAACAGATGCTTAGTTTCGTGACTTGAATGCTACAGTAATACACATTAGGAACCAATCCTAAACGTGTGTACATACTGCATTCATCTGTAATGCATGCACATGGTTTCCTTCAATCTTACTGACTTGCTGGCTAATTACCCATCCAGTAAGTGAAACCAGAGCTAATGTCTCCTCTGTGATCTCCGCAGCTCGCACGTTGAAATACGGCCGGCAGGCTGGAGCTGATGAGGAGGATGATGATGAATACGGAGCGTCAGGTTACGACGCCTACTGGAAGAACCTGGCATCTGGAGGAGACCAGCAGAGGGTCTACGACGATGAGGACGACGATGATGACGACGACGATGATGATGACGACGAAGACGATGAGGAGGAAGATGATGATGAGGAAGATGAAGCTGTTGAGGAAAAGGCTGCAGTTGCTGTGGCTGGTCTTAAACTGGAATGAGCTGGCACAATCCCATAGATCCAAAAAAATCCTCTGCAGATGTTCACTTGTTACAGCGCAGGAAAGCATAGAGATAAACATAAATAGTTGGTATAGCTGAAGCTGGGCGTCCATTATACTAAAAATACGATTTGGCACATTTAGTATTTGTCTAGGCTAAAATTGGATGAGGGGGTTATAGTCCAAAAAAGACAAAAACTCCACTCATTACACTCTGTAAAATTAAGGTGGTCATTTGTACTGTAGATGTCTTCAAATTGGTGATATGGTAATGCTGGTCTAAAATCAAAAGTAGTTAAATCCCAACATGCAGTAAGGTCTGTGATGTCATCAGGTTGATCCAACGTGAAAACATCTGGTCTTTCAAAAGAAAACCTCATTGTTTTCCACATTTATTTAGCAAATTTATGATTTTATAATTTCAGATAATTCAAAGTTTCTCTATCGATAATAGACCATTTTGATCTGGGAATTTCTGAGTTTTTTTTCTGCCAATATGAACTCCTTCCCCCAGCTGTATTTTTTTGCAAATGGCCCCATTACGCCGTCACACCCATCCTAGAGACAACTTGTGTTCTCTTATGATGTTAAATGCAATGTGTATATTTCGTCACAGGTCCCCTCCCCAAGACAAGATACAGACCCGCGCAGTGTGAGGCTCCTGGAGTATTTTTTCCAATTATAAATACTCATGTCATAGCATAAGCTTTCTTTGAAAGATTTGATGTCATCCAAACATTTGGAACAGAGCTGGATATTTCAACTTTGTCTTGGAGGTATCATGTAATTTTTCAATTGGTCAGTTTGAATGGGCCGAAGGGTCTACATACTACAATACCCATAAGCCTCAGTTTAATGCCAAATAAAAGCAGTTGCCAACTTTATCAGAACTTGACCCATGATACAGTATGAGTTTAAATAAACAGCAGCTTGACCTTTCAAACAAAACACTTTCTTTCCGCTTGTTTGTTATCAGGGGCACATAAGATGATTCATACACACACCTCGTCCTTGTTAGCTTCTTCTTCAGATGTATTCTGGGTAGTTGGTCATATTTTCTACTGTAAAATCAACTTTTATCTTTTTATTGTAATTCGGTATATTCCCTAACAAAGTAGCAGTTATGAAATCTTCACAAACCACACACACAATCTGTGATTGGTTTGTTATCAAACCATGTTACAGTTAGAACTAACTTTATATCATGTTGTATTCACAATGTCTTTACTGTGTAATAAATGTTGATCTGCTGAGGAGTTAATGTTTCATATTGTGCTGATCTGATTGGGATTCACCGCTTCAATATAACACAAAGGTTGTTCCAACAGCATAACCTATTTGCCCTGATCCCTGTAATGCATTTGTGAAGACATGTTAGTGTAAAATATGCCATTAAATAATGGATTAATTGATAATTGGAGTGATCATTTCCAAATGGCAGAGATTGGTTGTCATCTTTTGTGGACTGAGTGACTGACTGAACTTTTATTCTGACATGGAGATGAACAAGTAAGCGTAATGTCTCTCTTAACATCTTTATTATATATAAGTTTAGATTAAATACAACTCTTGTGTCATTGCACAGAGTACAACCAACACAGTTTGCACACAAACAGAAAGTGCAAATATTAATAAAGTGCATTAGTTTTCAGTTAATTCACAGAAAAAACACATGGTGAGCTCTATGGTTTTAATTATTATTATAGAATATTATTATCAATTTGTATTATTACCACATACATTTAGAAGCATTTTACTGATGTCAATAAGCCCATTTTAAATACTTGGGTATTACTAGGCTACTGGTTAATTTAGTAGTACAGTACTGAAAAATATAAGCTTAATGGGTTTTTACATTTTAAACATAGTAAAAATAGAGCAGTAACAAGTACAATATTTCCCTGTGCAGCAAAAGTTTAACGTTTTTTAAAATGGGAATCCTGAAGTAAAGTATGACAGTAGAGTAGTTGAGGTTGCTGTCCACTGCTGGTGAGTAACACAGTGTTGTGGGAGGAGTGAACTTCGGCAGCATGACGCGCAGCGGCGGGACAGCAGGGCGTCGGTCTCTGGAGCGACATCTGGACCGCAGTCCGGCTCCTCGCAGCCGCTAATACCACAACCCATGAGACTAAAAAGCTTTATAGGAACATGTGAAATGCAAACATGTAATCTCGGATTGTTGCTCCGCTGGATAGGAGACAGACCTCTGCACAGATGATAGACTTCATGACGGCTTTCCCGGTAATCCTCGTCCAGCCCACATGCCCCGGAGACCTGCGAGCGGTGAGCTGACTTTCTGTGTTCGTGTGTGAACTAAATTAAACCAGATCTAACTCAACTACACCTCAGGTTTAAACGTATAGCAGAAACATACTTAATGAAGCAGGGCTAAAAAGTGTCAACATTTACAACGGTGGGAAATAACTGGTGAGTAATAACCGGGGGTGTGTCAATTTGGTGATCCACGTGCGTCCATGCCGGACAAATGTCTGATGTCAGTGAATCAGGCTCCTCTGTGATTATTTGGTTCTTACCAAACTAATCACCAGTATGGTGAAGGGTTTAGTTTCACTTTCAGTTTGTGCAATGATCTGCTTCACCAAGCCACTCCTTCCGTCTTGAGGTTGATACTGTAGCGACGACACGACGTTGCGTAATCACAGGCAACAAACACACACAGGTGTCCAACAGTGTGTGAGGAATGATCGAGTAACACGTGCATGTTTGCGCATTTATTTATGTGTAGATCTACAAGTCCTGGGAGAGTAGCTACATGTAATACTTAAATCCTCTCAGAAGTCAGTATTATCAAGTATTGTTGTACGTTTAATCTAAAAACAAAAAAAGCATAATATAATGTGTTTTCTTGTGTAACATCTTAATGTCAAAAAACCCAGCTACAAGATAGATACATGTAGAAAAGAATGAAGCAAATATTTCCCTCCAAAATGTAGCAGAGGTATAAAAAAAGCATAAATGGAAATAGAGTAGAGTGCAAGTACATTCCTCCTCTGTCTAATATAGATTTCAAAGGGAAATATTGTCATTTTTACTCCACTACTTTACTAGGACATAAAGTTATTCATTGCATAGTTCTCATTAAATACAAGCCTACTTGCCAACCTTGAGACCTCAGAAACCGGGAGCATTTCAAAAGGAGGGAGGGTTGATTTTCTAGGGAGGAAACTTTCACATTACATAACTTTACATTACATTTCACTTGTTAGATGCTTGTATCCAAAGCGACTTCCATACATTCAGTACTGTGGACAATCCCCACAGGAGCAATTTGGGGTGAAGTGTCTTGCCCAGGGACACAACAACATGCTGAGTGCAGTGGGACTCGAACTTGCTATCCCCTGATTTGAAGTCCAGCACACTATTTACTGAGCCACAGCCACCATTAAATCTCAAATGTAGGCATGCACGTGTGTTATGTGTTGCAACATATTTTGAGGGAAATCAACAATTCAGTGGCAGTGTAATACCGGTGCAAATTGTAAGTAGGAGACATCTTGTGTCTTGCAGAAATGAATAATATTTTGTAGCTTCAGGATTCTTTTGCTGTTTCAGTTTTTCTCTGTTGGAGCCTTGCATGCGTTCATATAACTTTTAATAACTTCTGATTATTTCCACCCTTTCAAACAACATTTCAGTTTGCATTGAAACAAGAAATTAAGTTATCATACCTTCAGAAGTTACTGACTTCTCTCAAAGGTGGGGTAGGTAATTCACTTCAGATATACTTTTTGTTATATTCCATGGAATGCTCTTAACATCCCTATAGCAATGCATATATTAAATGCTTTGACAATACAAAAAATTAATCTATGGAAGCCGTAGTATTGTAAAAAGCAAGACCAATCATATGAGCTTGCCCGTCTAAAATAACTGGATGGCCTACCTGCCTGTCAGCCTTCAATCTCGTGCACAAATTTATCTCGTGCCCTCATTGGTCATGTGCGCGTTTGTGTGTGTTGGAGGAGGGGCTCTGTAAGGAAGTCTGAAGGAAGGGGCATTTTTTTCGGCTGCGTACTTTCAAATTCTAGCGCACTCGAGCTGGTTTCTCCATTCTTACCTACCCTACCTTTAACTTCTTACACAACTGCTGAGAACAAAATATGTTCGACTCTTCAGCTTCACTTGCATTTGCGCTGCATTTTAAAAATAAGTAACAGAAACAGTATGAACAGAGCAGGATTTTCCTGCTTATGTGCAACTTTTCTTTATTTAATATTATCAGAAACTGGGAATGTTTAGATTTTTTTTTTGTTACAATTTTCTGACACTTTATATATTGTCAATTACTTGATCAATTCAGATCAAAGTCAGCTCATTAAGCAAAGGTGTACAATGGTGTACATCTGCTCTCCATGTGACTGTCTGATTGGCTTTCTGCCACATCAACATCTAACAAATCCCAACAGAATGCATTGTGGAAACACCTTGTTCTTCTTTTGTTTTTATTACCAGAAGCGGGTCACACCTGCCATTGTCTTCAGTGACGCAGAAGTAGACATCTCATTCAGATTTCTTTCATGTACTCTCTGGCTAAATATCATACAACTAAACTAGTTGAACAATGCAACAAAAGGTTTACAGATCATAAACTCTAAAACAACATGTCACCTGCACGGGTAAACACAATTACAATAAGGCAAACTGATCTGCACATTTCTCAAACTTGTTGGCAATAATGAGTTACAAACACTCACACAAATGACTGCTGGGAGACAGGAATCTCGGTGAAATCCTTATGCGTTTTGAACTTGGAAACATTGTGTTAGGCAGAGGAGGGCCAAAGTGGTGGTCATGGATGGCACATGGTACCTAGTGATGGGAATTCCGGCTCTTTGTAGTGAGCCGGATCATTTGGCTCGGCTCACCAAGAACAGCCGGCTCTTTTTCGGCTCCCAAAGGGCTCTTCATTTTACCACGTATACCTTTTTATAATTCAATCAAATGTAGCCCTGTTTTGACTAATGATTTATATGTGTCACTTACATTATTCAATACATCCTTTGTACTGAAGTATTCAAAAGTAAAAATTACATTTTTAATATAAATGGTTTGCTGTGGCCAATTGTTTTCATTGCATTTAGAGACCCTTGTAACTTTCTGATACCACCCAATGAATGCACTGACTTGCTTGTAGAACCACGCTACACAAAGCAGATAGCAACAGCTATACAAACTTTAGAATAGACATTTTTAAAAAGGGCAGCTACTGTATCGACATTTTAAAATTGTATTTAAAGAAAAAGCCCCAACAAAACAACAACAGCTGACATCAAATCTTTGCTGAGCCTAAAGATAATCATAAATAAGTAACATAGTGAAAATAAATATATTGCAATGCTCAAAACAGCAGCATCCAGCCGTCTCTAATCCTTGGATATTACATGTCACTGCATGCATGCACGGAGCACACGTAGCGCGGAGATCATCAAATCATTCCGTCTTGTATTACTTCAGAACAAAAAAACATAAAAAAAACGTCTCGTTCGCGACCGACACATCACTAATGGCACCCTCTTATGACCCCTACCAGATTCAAAAGGTGATTGGTACATCTGTTGTTGGAGAATCAAACTAAAAACTAAAGAGGATGCAAATTGGCAACAAGGAGACAAAACAGCTACAAAGATTCAAAACTAGGACAAAGATGAAACATTGACACCAAGAGACACAAAACAACCAGAAATATTCGCAAAATGGCAACATACAGTAGTTTCAAAACAACCACAAAGTTGCAGAAATATATGTAGAGACAAAACACCGACAAAGACGCAAAGCGATCACAGAGATGAGACCAGTTAACATTTTCAATATGTTTGTAAACGGGAATTCACAATACAGGGACTGACTCACACAGTCACGCATTACGTACTTGAAGCCCTGTGCAGTCTGTGATTTAAGGGAAGCTGCCAACACTAAGTAAATATCAGCAGCACTAAAACAAATCGCATGCTAGTTGGAAAATTCAGAACCAAGCTGACTTTACTGTCAGAAAATCCAAGATGCATTAAAGGTCACCTATTATGCAAAATCTACATTTTCATGTCTCTTCTACATCAACATGTGTCCCCTCTCTCTGTGTAAAGAGATTCTGAAAGTTTCAGGGAAAAAGATTCTCTCTCTTTTTGTCCTGATCCATTTATTTAAAAACCTGTCTGAAAATGAGCTGATCAGATTTTGGCCACTTTATGATGTCATAACGATTTTTTTGGCTTGTGTAACCATTAGCCAATTACCAACCAAGGTAACACCCCCCCCACCTTATCACCTAAATCTCCTCCGCCATTAGGCGCTTTCACAATGGAGTACTTTTCCCAGTATAGTTCCAAAAATATCCGGAACTAGATCTTAGTTCATGAGAACCTTTTCACCCCCTTTTCTGAAAAGGGGGTGAAAA